GATATCCACCACTCACTTCCCGGCCCGCCCCCCCATCTCCCGATTTCCTCTCCACCCCGCCCCTGTCCCTCCCACCCAGCCCCTCCGTCTGGGGACTCCTCGCCCCCTGCACACGTGGGATGGTGTGCAGTTATTTTGGGAGCTGGTGGCTCCCCTGGGTCTTTCCCAACTGCCTTGGCGGGAGCAAGCGCGCTTCAAAGCCAGTCAGCTAGAGCCGGCGGACGGACGCCCGTGGCAGCTGGGGACGCAGGGAGTGTGATGTGGGGACACACATGTCCCCGGCCGAGCTCGGGCTCCAGTGAGGCCCGGACCCAGACCTGCTCATTGGGGGCTGCTCCCCCAAGCCTGGCACATGTCTGTGTCTTGGGAGAACCAGAAGCTCCTCAGAGGCCTTGTGCCAGGCCTACTCCTCTCTCCTTAAGGAGTTGGGTGTAGTGGGCCAACCCTGTGATCCCAGCACTCTGGGAGGCTGAGGCAGGAAGACTGCAAATTGGAGCCCAGCCTGGGCAACTTGGAGACTTAGCCAGACCTTGTATCAAAATTTTCAATTTAAAAAAAAAGAGGACTGGGGGTGTAGGTCAGTGACACAGCTTCGCATGTGTGAGGCCCTGTGCTCCATCCCAGCACCATAAGAAACAGAGAGAGAGACAGAGAGAGACAGAGAGACAGAGAAAGAGAGAGAAATCAAAACTTGAGCTGTAGGGGTGATTTAAAATCTTAAGCCAGAAGTGGTGGCACAAACCCATGATTCTAGCACTCTGGGAGGCTGAGGCAGGAAGATCACAAGTTTAAAACTCAGCCTGGGCAATTTAGTAACTTATTAAGACTCCAAAACAAAACAAAACAAAACAAGCATGTGGATGCAGCTCAGTGTGGAGATCCTGGGTTCAATCCTCAGTACTGAAAAAATTGTCTAGTTAGTGGCCATGCTTAAACAATTGTTTGGAGAGGGTGGAATAAATTTTAACTGTAGTTGCCTATGGTGGCACAGGCCTGTAATCCCAGCAGTCAGGAGGCTGAGGCAGAACTGCCATGAGTTCAAGGCCAGCCGGAACTACATTGTGGGACCATGTCACAAACAAACAAAAACATGCATGCCTGTAATCCCAGCACTTGGGAGGCTGAGGCTGGAAGGATCGCTGGGAGTTTGAGACCAGCCTGGGCTACAAAGTGAGTTTAAGGCCAGCATAGTAAGTCTGCATAGTAAGACCCTGTCTCAAAAAAAAAAAACAACCAACCAACCAACAAACAAAAAACAATAGCACATGCCTATTATCCCAGCCCTTGGGGATGTGGCAAGAGGATCGCCACAAGTTCAAGGCCAGCCTGGGCCACATAGTGAGTTCAAGACCAGCCAGAACTGCATAGTAAGATCCTGTCTCAAAAAACCAAGTTTGATTATAGATTTTATTTAACCTAAGATATCAAAAGTATTATCATTTTCACATGTAATCAATAGAAACATTACCAATGAGACATTTTCCATCTCTTTGCACTGAGTGTGCAAAATTCAGTGTGTGCTTTACGTGCACATCTCAGCTCAGGCGCTAGGTGCCTGTGGCTGTGAGCTGCTGGCCCTCGTGGATGGCACAGCGCCCTACCTCCCGTTCTCCTGAGCTCCTTGCCATGCTTCATCACTGCCCGCCTCTGGGGGGCCCCTGCCCACTGTCTGCTGCTTCCTGGCCCAGCCTGTCAGCGGTGCCTGTCTGGGCCCCTCCCAGGCGCCCATCACACCCCAAGGGGCTTCGTGGGCTCAGGCCTCACAGCAACCCTGAGGTCCAGGCTGGTGGAGCCGGAGCTGGAACCTTCGGCTGCCAATCTGTGTCGGCCTGGGCCTCCCTGGCTCAGGCGGGCGTGGGGAAGGGCTCCTGAGGTCCTGGGGTTCACACCCCCCGGTTCAGGATGGGCCAGGACTCCTGCACACCCTCTTCCTCTCCCCGCCACCCGGTTGCTTTCTCATCGAGTTGGATTCCCAGTTCTTCCTTCAAATCCGGCCGCCGTGTCTGTTCATAAGCCCGGCGCAGCCTGCATCCCTGGAGCCTGCGCCATCTGCAGAAATCATCACTGTCCCCTCCGGGCCAGATGTCAGTGGCCGGCTCGGCCCCACCTGCCCTCCCACCCACTGGCCTGTATCCCACCCCCACTCCTTTAGTCAAGGCTGCATCTGAGCCTTTGCCGTGACCACGCAGACAGCCAGGCCCCTTGGGTCAGCCAGGGGCCTCCGAAAGTTGAGGGTGCAACCTGAAGGCTGTGGCCTCATCAGGCAGCTGTTTCCCCTTTGTAAGTGCCACAGGGCAGAAAAGGCACCCTCCCCCCAGACTCAGTTCAAGGGAACAGAGCTGCCCTGGCCAAGCCCTGCTGACACCCTTGGGCCTCTGAAGGGTGTCAGGGAGCATGGCTCCTTTCAGGGCCTAGATGCGGGCCAGGGCCAGGGAGGCAGCGGGAGGAGAAGCCCTAAATCCATTCTGGAACTTGCTTCCGGTTGCAGGGGGAAGCTGCTCCTGGGAGGTAGTGAGCTGCCTGTTGCTTAAAGGATTCAAATGGTTCTATGTCCCTGCTTCAGCTGTAGGGAATCCCTGGAACCTGCTGTGAAGCCAGGGAGATAAAGTCAGCAAAGCCAGAGCTGGTAAATCCAGGATTTGAGACACAGGGAACAGATGCTGAAGTGAGGGGAATAAACTTCTGCATGGTATGAGGGAAGGTGTCTCTGAGGAGGCAGCATCTCGGAGAGAGGCTGGATGTGAGAGTGAGGAGTATTTAAGGAGGTGCTGTGCAAAGGCCCAGGGGCAGCGCAGGGCTCAGCAGAGTTTGGGGCAGGAGGAAGGAGGGGCCCAAGCCAGGGGAGAAGCAAGCCAGAGACGGAGGCAGGGAGGTGCGGTATCTTCTTATCCTGAGTGCAGGAGCCAGGGGCTAGGGGCTGCATTGGCGCGGTCCCAGAGGGAGGTGCCTCTACCTTGTTTAAGGCTCTAAGTGATTTTCCCAAGCCAGTCATTCATGTGTTTGCTCATGCATTCATTCAGCAAATGTTTCCAGGCGCCATGGGTAGAGCTACACTGGTGGGGGTTCCTGCAGGGAAACTGAGGCCAACCATGAAGTGCCAGTGCCTGGCCCCAGGAGCAAGGACAGCCGTGGCCCGGCCAGGCTGACACAAAGGCAAGGCCTCTGGCAGGAAGGGGCTCCTGGCCAGCTGGGCTGGACGCAGCGGCGGTGAGGGGATGGAGACAGGAAGGAGGCCGCACAGCTAGAAACTGGGGCTGCATTGTCTCACCTGGGGTCGGGCGCCGGGCTGTGAGCTCCAGATGTCTCCCCTGGTCTGCGGAGCAGCAAGGATGCTGCACCCTGCCTGCCCGGGCCCCACCCTGGCCTTTCCCATCTGTAAAACCTCTGCCAGCCCGGTGTCTGGGGATGACACAGCAGCGATACTGTGAAACATGCCAGCCAGCACTCCAAGCACTTGGCCTGAGTTAGTCCTGTGAGCCCAGGGCGGTGGTCACCCCCACGTGACAGAGGCCCCAGAAGTCAGGGCCTGGCCCCAGGTCCCACATGGAGGGGCAGAGCCGGGACTCAGGCCAGGCCGCCGTTCCAAAGTCCCGGCTGCTTCTTCTCCACCCCACCTGTGGTCGTGGGCCACACGCTCGCCTCATGTAACTGGCCCCTGACGCTCATGTAGCCATGGCAGCTCAGCCAAGCCGTGACAGGGATGGCTGAATGGAGACAGATGGTAGGTAGGCAGGTAGATAGACAGGTGGTAGGTATGTAGGTAGATCATAGATAGATAGATACATACATACATACATTCATACATAGATGAAATAAATTATAGATATAGATGATGGATATACAATACAAAGATGATAGGTTTGCTGGGTGTGGTGGTGCACGCCTGGAATCCCAGCACTTGGAAGGCTGAGGCAGGAGGATCGTTGCGAGTTCGAGGTCAGCCTGGGCTACAAAATGAACTCAATCCTGGTACCAGAAAAAAACAAAAAAACAAAACAGAAAAATGAGCTCAAAGCCAGCCTGAACTGCATAGCGAGACCCTGTCTCAAAAAGACAAAAAAAAATGATGATAGGTTCATAGAATATAAATAGACAACAGACAATAGATACAAATTATAGATATAGGTGATGCATACACAATACATATAGGTTATTAGATATCAATAGTGTAGAGACAGATGGCAAAGGATCGATGGTAGATATAGATACATCTATAGAGATAGATGATACATTGGATCACAGCTAGAGGGTTAGGGTTAAAGGCAGACAGACAACAGACATAAATATACAAAGGACATAGATGTGGTAGATTTGGAGATCCACAGAGTGACAGACAAGCTGAAGTTCACACACATTTAAAGAAACCACAGGAAACCTGTCCAGGTGTGAGACGTGAGGTCATGGCCACCCCAGGGCTCCCGAGCTGTGGTCTGAAGCCTGAGCCCTCTCAGAAGGGGAGGCAGAGCCGTTATCCCCCAGGGATGGTGTGGTGCAGGCTCAGAGACAGGAGGGACTTGCCCAAGACCACACAGAAGGGGCAGAGTCAGCTCAGCTCTGTTTGTGCCTCCCGGCTGCCCGGCTGCCCCTCCTCCTGCTGGATTCCCCACAGGAGGCGACTGGGGCAGGAGCACGTCTCCCTTCCAGGTGGACAAGAGGAAACAGGAAAGGCCCAACAGGAAGAGGGGGAGGAGGATGCTTTGGGGCCTCCCAGGTGACATCCTGGCCTGGGCAGGGTCTGGCCAGCCCATCCTCTACCTAGGGCCATCCTCCTCCCACCCTGAGGGAGCCCCAGGGATCCCCAAGGGACCCAGCACCCTGATGAGCACTGGCCCTGGATCCTGCTGGGACTCGACCATGGCCAGGAGCCCTCCTGCAGGGATATCATGTCCTGTGGTAAAGGCAGGGGTCAGGTGGCACCTGGCGTGTAGGCGTCAGGAACCTGAGGCCCTTGTCCTGGTGGATCCTTCCAGGTGAGTCCCCACAGCAGCCAGCCAAGCACCTGCGGTTGGTTTGCATTTTATTGAAGGTCTGGCTGGGTGTGGGAGGGGGTTTCCCCACGGTGGGTTTAAGGCACCCTGGACACGGGACCAGCCAAGGCTCAATCCTGGGGCACAGGCTCCGCTCAGTAGCTCCCTTCCCTGCAAACATCCAAGGGACACACCTCAGACCCGGCCACCGGGGCACAGATCTGGACAGGATGGCAGGACAGTGACCTCTTCCTGTGCCCAGATGTGGGAGGCCAGCTGGAAGAGGGGTGGGAAGGAAGGCCAGGTGACAGTCCCTGCCCAGCCCGAGGAGGTCCCTGCAGGAGGGGTAGAGAGGGGCAGGGAGGGACATTACCCCCAGCTCAGGCTGCGCTTGGCCAGCTCCACCTGGGCCAGGTGGTGGTCACTCAGCACCCGCACCCTGGTGATGGCGGTCAGTGGCCTCTGGCGGTGGGGGAACTGCAGGACCTTATGCTCCTGGGCGTAGACGTGGAAGTGCTCCCCGTCTGAGCTGATCTCCATCTGCCAGGCAGGAAGGACAGTCATGCTCAGGCTGGGCGCCAAGCTGGGAACCCCTCATTTCTCCCAAGAAGGAGGGGCTGGCGGCTGGTATGAGCACCCCACGGCACAAATGAGGAGAGTGAGGCAGGGGGAGGCTCACCAGGGAGGGAACTGCTGTGCTGGCCCTCGGGAACCCCCTCCTTCCCAGCCTTCTGCCCTGATGTCCTCCCTCAGGCCCTGCCCAGGCCCCTGTCACCTCAAAGGGCTCCCCCAGGGCCAGCGGGAAGACGCTGGACACCTCTTCCTCGCCCCACCGGCCGCCCTGGAAGGCATTGCCCACCACAGTGGCACTGGAGAATCGGGGCTTCACGTGGAAGGCGATGTCCCCCATCTCAGACAAGAAGTTGATCTCAAACCTGGGGATACAGTGTAGGTCACAAAGCCAGCCCAGGGCTGTGCAGTCCCAGCCCGAGGTCCAGGAGCAGGCGGCAGTGTTCCTTACCTTTCCTCGCTGGAGTCAGCCTGCCCCTGGACCATGAGGCTCCAGCCCGGGGCCAGGCCCCCTGCACAGAAGGCTTCGAACTGAAGACAAAGAACAAGGGGACAGAGCCCTGTGGGGCGGTGGCCTCCTCTCCCTGCTACTCCTCACTGCTGCGGCCAGGCTTGCATCCCCAGCACGGCCCTCGTGGGACCCCGGCCCTCATGACAAGTGGTGGGGTGGGATGAGCCTGCCCAGCAGCTTCTATGGGGGGATGTTTGCCCCTGCGCCCCTGCTGCTGGGGTCTGATGAGCACCGGAGGGGAGGAGCACAGCAAGCCTGGGGGACCCCGCCACCCAGCCCTGCTCCCTCTCCCCAGCTGGGGTGCGCGGCACACCCCAGACCCTGGTCTCACCCACCTGCACAGCCATCGCCCACCACTGCAAGGACTGAGCTAGCCGGCTGGGGGGATATAGGCCGGCTGGGCTGGGCGGGGCGCAGCAGCCCCACCCCCAGCGGCCACATGCCCTCCACTTCTCTCCCTTTCTCAGGAGGGGAGGGTTGGGGTGGGTGGGTGCCATCCCCAGCACCGAAACAAAAAGCACGAGCCAGGTCCCCCCCCCACGCCCTTCCCAGCCCCGCCTCCTCTGGGCCTGCCAAACCCAGGCTCTGCCAGCCGCCATAGTCCAGACCCTTCCCACCTCTGAGAACACAGCCGCTCCCCACCCGGCCCTAGAGACCCAGTAGAGGCAGCCCCTACTCCCCTCCCAAATCTGCCTTTCTGGCCAAGGGTTGGGGGGCCTGCCTGGCCTTCTGGGGTCCCATCTGATGCCCAGTGTCTGCCATAGGGCCATTGCCTGTCTTCCTACCCGCCCCATTCCATCCCCCAGTCCGAGCGGCCCCACGGGGCGGCGGGGATTAGGCCAGCGCTGGTCAGCGCATTCCAGGGCTGTGGCGGCGGGGGGGGGGGGCTTTCCCACACCCTGACCCCCCCACCCCCGGCCCTGCGCCCTGGCCCCTCTCGGGCTGAGCCAGAGATGGAGGGAGGGCAGCTGGAGTCTCGGGTGGCCTTGGGGACAGGGAGACTGAACCAGAGACACAGCTCCAGGCTGCTCCTGACAGCTGTCCAAAGAGGGACCTCAGAGCGCCTGTGCGCAAAGAGCATGCAGTGAGCACGTGCAAGCGTGAGCCCACGAGTGTGCAAGGTGTCTGAGTGTGGCACGTGGCTGCAGGTTGTAGGAGGGTTGCCGTGTCGCTGCCCATGGTCTCTAATCTGGATGGCTAGGGTGTCCCCAGATTCCACATCTTTGTGCTTCTGGCCTTCTTCCTGCCCCCGTGTGTCCCCCACCCATTCTTTACTCCAACGGGGCTGACCCTGGGGCCTGCAGGGGCGGCCCTGGCAGGGAGGCTGTAGAGGATAAGCCCCGGGGGCCTGCCACCCTGCCTGGTCATCTGGGGCCCGACAGCTCCCTGCCCCAGAGGAGCAGAGAGAGTAAAAGCCCTGGTCACAGCATGGGGCATTGGGAGAGGAGAGGACATAGAGCCTGGACACCGAGGATGCAGGGCCCAGACACCAGATCCAGAGCCGGGCAGAGTGCAGAGTCAGGGCCCGGGAAACGCTGGCCGCCTTGAGCTAGTGACCGCGGGCCTCTGTCTTCCCAGCTGTGCGCTGGGTTCAGCAGTGCTGACCTCTGCCCTGTGCAGTGCCCTGGACATGGAGTCCACTCAATCTCTGTCCCCTGGTCTTGGGGTCAGCAGGGGCACTAGTCTGAGGCACTTGGGTCTGGGGGCCAGCGGGTGGGAATCGGGGTCTGTGAATGGGGCTGGGCCCCACACTTGCTGGAAAGGGGATCTGTTGTGGCTGCCTGGGGCCAGGAGGTCAGAAACCCTGCGTTAGGTGGCTCAGAAAGGTCTGAGCCCCAGTCTCCCATCTGGGCCAGGGTGTGGAGTTATAGGAAGGCTGGGGTCCTTTGAGTCCAGCCCGCTCATGCCCAGCTTCGGCTCCACAGCTCTTGGACAGCTGGGGCGTGACCCACTCCGGGTGAGGTAGGCGCCCCTCCAACCTTCACCCCATGGTGGGACCAGGACCTGGGCTCTCCCCGAGTGACTTCTGGTGCAGAGCCTCTCACATCTGGTGGGAGCCCGGAGCCACCCAGCCCCCAAACACCTGGGAGCCAAGGGCTCAGGGGCTGGACAGTACTGGGGAGCAGAGAGACCCACGGATGGGGCAGCACCACAGGCTGGGGGAGGACATGCAGAGGGCAGTGCTCTCCCCAACTTGCCAGGGGCGGTACTGAGTGCTGGCTGTTGGCTGCTGGGCGCCATGGCTTGGAGCCCAGAGCAAACAGATCCGCTGTCCCAGAGCCACCGCACCTCCTGCCCCCCCGCAACCCGGATGTGAGCTTTGCCTGGAGTTGTTGACAGGAGGCTCTGAACAAACAGCGTCTCCTCCCAGCTCCGCTGAGAGTCAGTAACTTCTCGGCCCTGGCAGTGCCCAGCTCAGGGTAAACACACAGAACCTCCAGGCACTAAATCCTGCCCAGGACACAGTGCGCCACCTATGGAGTGCCTGTTCTGTGCCAGGTACCAGCCCAATTCTTTGTATGTTGGTTAGTTCTGAGGATGGAACCTGGGGCCTTCACTCTGAGCTACATTCCCAGTCCTTTTTATTTTTTATTCGGAGACAGGGTCTTGCTAAGTCTCCAAGTTACCCAGGCTGGGCTCGAACTTGCAATCCGTCTACCTCAGTCTCCCAGAGTGCTGTGATTACAGGTGTTCACCCCATACCCAGCACGTGTATCGAATGGACATGAGAGTGATCCTGAAACCCTGATTCAGAGAACATGAAGGCACAGAGAAGTTAAATGGCTTGTCCGAGGTCCCACACGTAGGGAGCAACAAAGCCGGGGTTGGGACCCAGGAGTCTCCCAGCCCTACACACGGTGCTGGACTCTCCCTTGGAGACACCACGCCAGGATAGGGGTCATCAGGGCAGGCTTCCAGGAGGAGGAGGCACTTAACATGGGTCTTGAAGGATGAGTAGTAGTTGGAAGGTCTGGGCAAGGGTGCTCCGGAGATAGGGAGGAGCAGGAGGAAGAGAAGCAGAGGTTGGGCTGCGGGGGGAGGGTGGGCAGGGTCCCACCACACAAAGCATGTGACTTACTGCCGCATCCTCAGAGGTGACAACTTGACAGGGACTGCCTTGTCTTTCCGGGAGCCCACAGAGCCCCTGCAGGATTCCTGGAGCCAGGAATCACTACACCCATTTGTGAGCCAGGGAAGCAGAGTCAGGTGGAAGATGCCCCCAACCCCAGCAAGGGTGTGGTGAGCAGACGCATGGGTGCACCTCACCCCATCCTCAGCCAGGAAGTCCTGAGCACCGGGCACCATGCTGTCCTGGAAATCCTCGGCCTTGACCTGTGAGGGGCATGGAGCCAGCAGTCCCAAACCCAGCGCAGACCATGGGGTCCAGCTCTGCCCTACTGGGCCCTGGAGGGTTTTGGTATATGTGCGGTAGCCCCTTGGGTCAGGAAGGGCAGTGAGCCAGGCACCCAGGGAGTGGGGCCACAGGGAAAGCCCTGTGAGGGTGGGGAAACTGAGGTCCACCGAGGCAGCAAGAGATCGATGAAAAAGAACAGGCAGGGCCTGGAGCTCTGGCCTCTGCTCCCTCCTGCCAGGCCCTCGGGGGACTTGGTCACAGTCCCATGGAAGCCTGGGTGAGAGGGCCCCAGGCTCACCCGTGGTGGCCCTCACACAACCCTTTCCACATCGGCCATCAAATCTTCCCAGAGCACATCCTCTATCAAAGAACCTTCTAGGTTCTCTCCCTCCTCTGAATTTCACCCCTACTTGGGACAAAGGACATTTTCTTTTTCTTTTTTAGACTTTGGAGACAGGATTTTGCTATGTAGTTCAGGCTAGCCTGCATAGCAACTACATACTTGATGATCCTCCTGCCTCAGCCTCCCAAGTACTGGGATTACAGGCAGGTGCCACCATCCCCCGCTTGGGACATAGGACATTTTCCATCCAGGCCATTAGCAAAGGCCTTACTGTGTGCAGAAGCTGCCAGGAGCCCTCAGAGTCAGGGACAGGAGCAGCTCTGCATGCGTGGGGTCTTCCACTGCCCCCTCCCACTCCTGCCCACCACTCCGGCGCACAGTGTGATCTTGGATGATGCAGTGGCCCCACTGCCCCTAATTCAGGGCCAGATGGGGGCCCCAGGCTTTGGAATGTCAGGGCTGCGAAGGATCCAGGGAGCCCAGCTCATCCTGGCCCTGAGAGCTGCCCTGCTACTTTGCACGGGGCACTGTGCTGGCGGCCATACTGGACAGACGCCGGGCGCATATCCCCCGAGAGATAGGAGAGCCCACGTCGCTGATGGAGACGGCCACCAGCCACACAGTCAAGGACTCGGGAAATATTTGCTGAGCACCTCCTGGGTAGCAAGCTGTGTTGCGAATGAGTCAGACAGACAGACACAGACAAGCAGACCCTCAGGAGCTTCCTGCATCTGAGGGAATGAGCTGCCGCTGAGTGGCAAAATCCCGAGTGGAATCACATGGCTTCGTCGCCATTATGATCAAAGTTCTGCAGGAGTCCACAGGGAGGGGCGATGGTGCGCTCCAGGCAGAGCTGGCCTGGGGGCGGCTGCCTGGGGGAGTGGAGGAAGGCTCCCCAGAGGAGGCAGCAGCTGAGTGACTCCAGAGGAGGGCAGGGCTGGCTGGCAGGGAGCAGAGGCTCTGGGGAAGGGAGGGGCTGCACCCCCTCGAGGTCTTCCCTTTGGGCCCCTCCCCCCCAATTAACCCTTGGCAGCCCAGTGCCCTGCCACTGTCCATGCCTGGGGCCTCTGCCCTCGAAGCTCCTGTCATCCTGAGAATCTGCCCCTCGCGGTGACTGTGCAGCTGGAAGTCTTGCTAGAGCTGCCCCTTCTGACCCGACACAAGGCAAGCCTGGCCTCCCTCGGGGGAGTCTCTCCCCAGGCAGCCTCCCCTGTCCACACCTTCCCCTCCCACAAGTCCAAGCAGCCCCATTGGCCTGGGCAGATGAGGAATCTTAAGTGTCCTTGCTTCTCCCGGGCCTCAGTTTCCCCATCGGAGAGAGATGGTGGGCTGATGAACATTCCTGAATGTTCGGGGGGGTTGGGGCTTGGACAGTGCAAGGAAAGGGCACAAGATCGGGGATACATGACGTCATACTACACAGAGGGGCTAGTACAGGCTCCCCAAGATGGGCTCCCCCAGGCACCAGGACCCAGCTAGGTATGTGATCCTAAAATCCTCCCAACACTTTGGGGCATGGCACTATCACCCCACTATTTTATCTCCCCCTTTTTTGCAGTAATGGAGATTATACGTGGGGTCTTTGCACTAGCTACATCCCCTGCTCATTTTTTATTTTTTATTTTGAGACAGGATCTGGCTAAGTCACTAAGTTGCCCGGGCTGGGCTCGAACTTGTGATCCTCCTCTCTCAGCCTCCGGGAGTGCTGGGGTCACAGGTGTG